CTTAGCTGAAATTTGTCCATTACGGGCCAACTTGACTGTCAAGTAGGCGTCTGCAAAGAACAAAGGTGGAGAGGAAAATCAATGTGCAGTGGAGCGACCTCCGTCTGACTCAGCCAAGTAGTTGACGGCTTGACGGCAGACAAGGCGGGAGAAAGGACAAAGAGTGAGAATTACAAGCGGTAGTATGTTTACCTTCGTCTACTGTTGCTGTCACATATTTATATTTTATTTCCGGGGTAGCCTCGGACTGGAGCCAACTCAGCCCGACGAGGCAGAATGCTGCTGCGGCCTTGTAAAGGGGAGCCATTGCGACGGAATTCAGAAGAGAATATTTTTAAAAAATGTTTTCTCAGCAAGAGAAATGTAAAGATTCAAATTGAGGAGATGGGAAAGGACGGCAAGCAGTTCGGAGTTCCTTGCGTGGTCCTCCAGTCGCGTGAACGGCGAACGGCAAAAACCGGGGCGGCAAAGCCAAAATTGCAAGCAAAAGATAAAGTTAAATAAATTAATATTGAGAAAAAATAAAACAAGAAGAAATTGTTGTGCATGACTTATCCTATGAAATAAACCATTTAATTTAAACAAATGCAAAAAACAAGCAACACAAGAGACCCGGCCGGTCGGCAGGCGCGGCAGGTCGAGGTGGTAGGAGGAGTGATCTGTGTGGGTTGTTGCATTCGCCTTGGTTTCGGGTTCCGTCTGCCTTCTCATACCACTCAACGGTTATACGCCAATTAAATAAATCATTTTTCTTCCAATTAAATCTAGATCCATCTCCAAAAACGCTTTTTATGGGAGGATACAGCGGGAAGCCCCCCCTCTGGCTCCTGCTCATTGCGGGGGGTGCTGTGGCCCCCTTCCGGTGCTCTACGACTGGGCTTTTCTGTGCCGTGGCGGCCTTCGTTTGCCCTTTACCCGTGGATCTTGTTATGGCTTAGTGCAACATGCAGACAAGGCAAGCAGCGGCAATGGTGTATGGCAGCTTCCTTGGTGTTTGCAAACGTCTCTAGAGCCAGTGGTTTGGTTGTGGTGGCGGTCTGAGCGAAGGGTCGATGCTGGTGTTTGCACTGGCAATGAAGCACCATTTCTCCTCCCTAAACCAAAATAATAATTAATTAATTCATTAAGTTGTTTAAATGCAAAGAAACACCGTGGATATAACCCAGCTAGTGTAATGCACAGCGACCCTTCGCTGTCACTACGTATGAACCCAAAGCTATGCGACTAAGCGCACACACTGCCTCTAGGGATGTAAACTCGTAATTCTCGCTATTCACACTATAAAACCCATTAGATATTCAAAAATCATTCGAGTTCTCTGATTTCTTCAAAGGGGAAAATCCTCAGAAGAATAGAACTGCCTGACCCTCGTTGAGGGTCAGTATCAGAGCCACAGCCTCAGCCTCACACCCAGCCCCCACGCCGGTGCAGGCTGGGGAGCACTCCGTTCCTATTATACTGGTTCCCTTATGTAAAGATGTCATAACTCCTGAGATAATCTATAGTATGTGATCATTTTCATGATACTAGGTCTCTAGAGGCCACACAGAGGAGCTATTGTAGTGCCCGTGCACTACAGCTAGCCTCGAAAAAAATTTGAACAGATGTTCTAGGTCCTACGGTTCAGGGTTTAGGGTTTCGGGCTTTATGGTTTGGCAATTGAAACAGGATCTGAAGCCCGATCCGCCTGAAACTATTTTTTGGATTTCTTCTGGAGTGCGGGCTGGTTACTGGCGACCAATGAATGGGCTAGCATTTACCTGCAGTGTTAATCTATGCGGCGGAGTGGTGCGTGGATATGCATACCTAGGACCGTCATGAGCTGCAGAAGAGTGAACACTTAAGACGAAAATTTTTAAAAAAACTGCTGATGATCTCCTCTCCATTCTTTAAATGCCCCAGGCATGGCGGTACAATGGCCTGAGACTGATGCTGAGAGGGGGTGACCTCTAGCGAGTTGCAACAAACCCTGCTGCTGCAACAAACCCTGCTGCTGCCTCCTGCAGAGCCGTTGTAGATTAGAGCATAAGCAGCTGCATTGATTTTCTTAGCTAGTTTGTTAAGTTAAGATGTGGACTTCTTTTTTCTCTCAAAAGCATCTACTTCTTGCTGAGGAGCCGCCTATACAACTCTTCCTCGTTGAGTTCAAGGCGGCGGTGCGGGGAATAGAAAAAGCTTTCAGAGTAGTATTGAACAGAATGATGAATTCTGTTCAAGGAACAGACAAAATATGAATAGTAAATAAAATAGATACTTTTGTATGAACATCATGGTGGGCAATATTAAATGATAAATTGGATGAAATCCTTCTCGATCCACATTGACTGCAGAAAGGCTTCCTATAAGTCTGTTCTTGGGCAGCTTAATTACACAAGGCGAGCCAAGGCATGAATATACGGTACTACTGCAACAACACACACGCACACACATATATAAATAAATAAATATATATATTTATATATATATATATATATATATATATATATATATATATATATATATATATATATATAT